CATTGGATGCGAATCTGGTTTAAATGACCGTGGTTGCATGCACCAATATTGAGTGTTTGATGAAAATCCCATTCACTGCTTAATAATTATGCTGTCAAGTTTTGGATGTGTGTTTAAATGATATTAGCTCATGTTAGGTGTTAAAGTAAGTAAGAAGGGGTTCTCTAGTGTAGGGGATCAAGTAGAACATGAGCCACTTTGTGAAGCGCTCCAGTTTCCACTTGCCCTCTGTCCTCAAAGCCCTGTGTCAAAAACTAACATTGCTGGACTTGCAGTGCCCAAGCCCTAATCTACTGATTAGTAACATCCTAGTATTGAGTATTGTAAATGCTTCACAATGCAGCAGGACAGCCCCTAGATGCTGGACCTGGAAGCTAGTAGAGATCACTGTAGTAGCGAGACGTACTCCAGTTTAGTTTCCACAGGAATCCCATGGGCAAGGAACATACACATATACACATATATAAGCAGTACTTCTATTGGTCCAAACTGGACCAATGTAACTATGTAAAAATTGCATATCGGAACTTTAGTTGTTGGTGGTGTCATTCAACTGACTGTGCTGTGAGACAAATTAAATAGTGAGTGATTGATGAGCACAATTATGTCTAATGCAACTTACCCAGACCACTCATCATCTGGGATATAGCAGTACATCAGTCTTCTGGCATGATATGGTAACCAGCAGACAATATACGCTATCACAATGGCTCCTGTGGATTAGAGAAAACATTTCATTAGACAAGTATTTGTATGACACGAAGCATAAAAAGATACCCAGAGGGCTACAAGCTGACCTGGCCTGTATAAATCTGTCACAGACTAGGATGTCCCATTGAGCCATATAAACTCTTCTGTTTTATTGACATAATGTGCCAAACCTCATGGCAGCAGATTTATAATTAGCTTTATTTAATTTGTCCGTTCTAACAAGAATCTTTATAATATTATGATCACATCAACTCTTCAAACGTGCAGTGGTTTGCACGTCTGCACTAGGGTCAGTTGTCTGAATTCCAAAAAAGACACTATCTGCATGGAGTTTGTATATTTTCTGCTTGTGTGGGTTTTCGCCAGGTACGCAAGTGTCCTGTCACACTCCTTAGTTATGATTGCGAGTTAACTGGCTCCTGCCTAAATCGGCCCTAGTATGTGTATGCATGCATTAGATTGTGAGCTTCTTCAGAGCAGGCACAGTATATGTAAAATGCTATATAAATACTTCTTTTCAAATCAGATTTTACTGAAACGTTTTCAAATATACAAAAATGCAGAATAAAGAAGACATACTGAACAAACAAGTATCACATCCATCCTGTTTGGACATACACAAAAGAGAAATTATTGCACATGGTCAGACTAGATACTATTACCAAGCTGAACAGAAGTACTATGAGTAGTGTGTAACGAAGAGCTCAAGAGTCTTATAGCAGTGGCTTGAAAGAAAAAAAAAACTTTCTATTGCAATCTTTAGGATAAACTGTTATCGGGAATAATCCCTCTGAGAGTAGGGGTGGTTGTATGTCAAAGATGAGAAACCACTCTAGTCTCACCTAGGAAAACTTTATGACAAAGCTTCAGGCCAATAGAGGTAGGTGGAAAGAAATAACAGAGTAAATAAAGAGTGAAATTAGAAAAGAAGGGTGAAGGATAAAAGGAAAAAAAGGAAGGGGGGGGGGAAAGGTAGGGGTAGAGAGAACGGGTAGGACTGGGAAGGCCCCAGATCACATGAGGCATTGGCCTGTTCTATAGAGACCAGCTACTTAGTGGAGCCATTATAAAACCAGTTGACTATCCTGGTCAAGACTACAGGGGCACGGCCCACAGAAAGATCTGGGATACCAGTGCCTCCCTTGGATTTCAGTAGAATAAAGATTGTTTTGTGAAGTTGCGCTTTCTGCCGGTTCCATACTGTATTGAAATTATGGAACAACATACTGTATATGCTTAAAATATTGATCCTTCTAAACCAGGAATAAATGGTATGGTTATACGACTGAAGATCAGTGAGGGTCCACTGTTAAAGGGAAATGTAATTCAGAGCATACAGTTGTGTTAGGTCAGCGGGGATATAAATCCCCATATACTTAATGGCTGAGGTACAGATTTTGAAAAGGATATTGTCTCGTTGATGTTGGACTTGGGATGTTTGCAAAGAGACATTAAGAATTTCCGATTTGGTGAGATTCACCTTAAAGTTGCTATAGAGTCCACAACGGTGGAACTCTTGTAATATATATGGCATCAAGATGGGGATTTGTAATATGAGGCAAGAGGTCATTAGCAAAAAAGGCTAGCTTCACTTGTTGTGGTGCCAGAGTAATACCCAAGATGAATTGTTATGAATAGCGACTGCTAAGTGTTCCATCACTAGCACCTACAACAGGGGATAATGGACATGATATGTTGGATGCCATTGCTGATTGAGAAACCTGGTGCCAAAAAAGCCATTGACATGGACCCTTTTATTCAGCTGTGAATATAAATCCAGGATGTATATAGTGTGATGGACTGCCAGGCAACCTGCCTGGGTGTTTCCATCATTGAACTGCTTCCTCGCCGCTGGGACACAAGAACAAAGTATTATAGCTGGGCATTGCACCCAAGAACTAAAGGACACTAGCTTAGGTGCAACTAAAACTCTTCTTTATTGAAAATTCACATAGAATTTAGATCACACAAAATCAGATAATAGCTTGATCACATGATCCTAAACAATGCAATATTTAACCCATAATATCATCAGTATATCTAACAGTACATCTAATGAACAGCTAGCAGCTAATAGTAACCTAATTAAACAGTGATCTAATTAACAGTAAGGTAATCAACAGCCAGGTACCGAGGCCAGGAGCCCATCCATGACAGTCCGGCAACAAGCCCATGCCCCTGTATATACCAAGTATATTACACATGCTGTCTTTCAGGTGTCTGCCTTTCACCTGTACAATCTGCCCACCAGAAAAGCCATCATAAGACAAAACTGGTACAATGTTCCAACAGTCTGAAAATGTGGAATTAATTTATCCTCATAGATTTCCTGAGGGGGATTGTTGCTAAATATTCCTGTCCCAAATGGAGGAGCTCTTCCAACCCAGTCTGCAGGAGGGCCACCATATTTCCTCTGACCATTAACCTGTACAAGATTAATATTACACATTTCCATCCACTCCAGAAGGGAAGCTTTATTGTCTTTATTCAGAGAATTAATCCAAGCCTTGCTCTGTGCATACATCACGTTGTTGTCCATCATTAAATAATGATCTGCTCTCTACATGGGCCATAATCAGTGGGTAGAAGGCTAGCCCCTAGTCCCCTCCAAAAGACCCTGTCCTGGTCTGTCACACATAGAGGGGCCCACTCCAATTTGTAGAAGTGTTTGTCTGGAAAAGGACCAACTAACTCGATCAAATGCCTTCTCAGAGTCTATGGAGAAAAGGCAAGACGTTGTATTGGACACTTAGGCATGGTTCAGAAGCAGCAGTGTTTTAAGAGTGTGGTCCCTCGCCTCCCTTTCCTGGACAGACCCCCTCTAATCCTGATCTGTATGTATGAGGGCAGGTAAGAGAGGTTGCAGGCCGGAAGTGATTACTTTGGCATAAATAGGTCTTTACCCAGATTCGGAATGGGAGATATGTGGGCTTTCAGGGTTTGGGGTAGGAACAGGGTGTCCACAGAGATCAGCATGAACAGGGCAAGGTGCTCTTTACAGATTTTGTAGAACTTGGAGTGGACCAATCCGGGCGTTAGTCTCTTACCAGAGGGGGGGTGGTGGTGACGCCAGACAGAAGTTCATTCATAGTGAATGAGCTTTCCAAAGAGTCTCTAGTGGTGTTGTCTAAGGTAGGGAGCACTGTGTCCGTAATGTAGTCACAAAGGGGATGATAGGTGTCAGAGTCCAGGTCTACAGAAAGGGAGGACAAGTTATATAGGGAGGATAAGAAATCAGGAAAGGTTTTGAGAATTGACTGAGGTGAGGAAGTTGCCTGGCCCCCACGGGTCTTGATGGAAAGAATGTAAGTCTGTAAGGTACAGGGGTGGAGGGAGTGAGCCAAAGGTCTACTACATTTGTTCCAGTACTAGTATCTACTGAGAGAGATCCACTCATGATGATTGTGGCAGGTAGCGTCATATAATTGTAGGAGGGATGACCTGGCAGACTAAATTTCAGCCAGCAGTTTGGGTGAAGGAACTATAGAGTGTGTCCTGTATGAACTGGGCACACTCCTTTTTAATTTAAGCACTGTGTTGACTGAAAACCACATGCAGGACAGTAATGAAGTTTTGTCATTCTGACGATTGAAAAAAAGATTGTGGTAATTACAGCCAGATTACAGGTTGGGTCTGTATGCAAGGTATCATTGAGCAGCCAGGACCATGAGGATCGTGGTGTCTAAGGCACATTGACATACAAAAATATGGGTGAGTGGTCAGACCACACAAAGGACCTGATGTCAACCAAAGACCTCCAGTCCATGGCATGGTGGCTGGAGAATAAATAATCTAACCCACTATAGGACTAATGAGCCCATAAAAAGTAGGTATAATCTTTACCCTTTGGGTACAGGGCTCTCCAAAGCTCAATTAGCCTGTGGTCATAAAATTGTGTTTTAAACGATTTAAGTTGGCACTTCAGGAAGACGCTGGTCTGGTGAAACATACATTTAAGTGCAAGGACCGCTACTTCCAGGTCCTGTATGATGTCATGTCCAGCCTAGGAGACAGAGGCCTGGAAAGCATACTGACCAACAGGGGTGTTGCTGTGAGATGATTCACATACAGACTGTATACGCTGGTGCAGGGGCGGACTGACAACTCATGGGGCCCCCGGACAATAGGGGATCATGGGATCCCTGTGTCCTTGCCCAAACTCAAAGAAGCCTATGAAAAAGGTACCAGGGGCATCTCATGGGGCCCCCTACTGACCCCGGGCCCTCGGGCAGTGCCCGTGTTTCCAAATGGTCAGTCCGCCCCTGCACTGGTGTCAGTATTATAGGCACTGTAATATGTGAGTATTATTCTTTTATTTCTTATTTGATTGATTCATTTTCAATAAAGACTACACTAAGATGCTTTAAATGGATATGTTCTGCTTTATCACTGAGTATGTCTGAGTGAGCCAACTTAAAGAATGAGGGTCTAGGGATCATCCATAAGCATCCGTATGTCACAGCATGGTGTGGGGAAATTGCACACATCAGTGGACTTTTTTAAGTTGCTTGTATAACATTTGATTGTTGTTTGTTAATAAGAATAACAAAAAGGATTAAGCAAGCGCCTTAGCTTTATTTTTATCAGTTTTATTTGTTAGCGTAGTTGCACTTACAGGGGCAGCTGCACATTTAATATTGGTAATATAGGTTTGCACATTTCAAACCAATTTCTTCGTTTTCACTGTATGGTGAATACAGAGGTGCCGCAATATTGTTTTTTTTTTTGTACTGCTTATACAGGCATTTGAGCTTTTTATCTCTCTGCATCTAAATGCCCCTCTATGTTAGCCTATATGTCCATGCACACTATAGGCGTTTACAGGAGTTAAAGGCAGGGGTGTTTAGGGGCAGACAAACCCCTTATGCTGCTTATGTGCATTTTTGAAGGAGAAAAGTATTTATAAAAGTCCCAGCATGCATGAAGCCTTAGTGGTTGATTTACTAAAACTGTAGAGTGCAAAATCTGGAGCAGCTGTGCATAAACCAATCAGCTTCCAGGTTTTCTTGTCAAAGCTTAATTGAACAAGCTGACGTTAGAAGCTGATTGCCAACCATGCACAGCTGCACCAATTTGTGCACTAGTTTTAGTAAATCAACCCTTTAGTGTTAGGCCAATGAAATACAGAGCAGTAGAATGAAGCAATAAAGTTACACTGCACGACGTGAAATCATACTAGCATTTATGGCAGGATAACAGCAAACAATGCGTAGTCCCAGAGAAAATGTAGTTTCTCCGAGCTAAACAGAAATGGCAGCAAATGTGGACAACTACAGTATGTTGAACAGCTGAGCAGGTACATCACTGACCACTTGCAGAATGTGAGCAGTCTTTTCTGTTTGGGATTAACTCTGAATGCCAAGGTGAATTAAAGTGCAGAATAGATGGATCCAGGTTCTTTACACTAGAATATAACATTGTTGGATAGAGCACATTATACAGATTAAATGTCATTTTTCATGAAAAGTGCATTGTAGTGCATTGTAATGTGCACAGGGCATTTACCCAGCAATCCTAAATGCTTGACATGTTTAGGCGGGGGGGGGGGGGAATCAAGATGATGAAGCCTCTTTCACACTTTCCGTGTTCCGTCTGTCCATTTTTCATCCATCCTTCGATGGATGAAAAACAGATAGCAATTAATTTCTATGGACAAACGGATGTAAATGGATGAGCATCTGTTTGCATCCGCGTCTGTTAAGTTCCTTTTTCTTTTTAAAACAGAACTAGCAACATTCAGATCTGTTAAAACAGATCAGAATGGATGTAAATGGACAGCGTCTGTTTCTGTCCTTTCTGTTAAGATCTGTTTTTCAGCAAAATATTCGTAATTCATAATCTTTTTTTAAAGCATAAAAAAACAGTCATAAAACGGATGTAAACTGATGAAAAACAGAGGTAAATGGAATTAAACTAAATGGAACTGAAATGCAAAACGGATGTAGACTGATGTGAACTGCACTGAAGGCTATTCATACCATGCACGTTTTTTGCACTGCATTCAAAATGCACTGCACTTTAATCTGCAAGCAGTGTCAATGCAATGCTAACCACACTCCAAATGTAGGTTACAAACACAGAACCTTTGACTGCACTGGATTGCATGGTATAGAAGTACCATTTGATATGGTTGCAATATGTTTTTATAGTAGTGCATGCACTAGTTTTGGTGTGGTGCAGTGCGATTAAAGCCCTTTCAAATGAATTGGCTGAAAATGCACTTCACTCAAAGCACACAGGAATTGACCAGGAAAGTGAGCACGTTGTGCAATTCTGGTGTGAACTGGCCCTGAAGACAGGATGCAAAAATGGATGTTAATGAATGTAAACTGAATCTAAAAAAAATATCAAATGAATCTGAAAAACGTAAACTGATTCTGAAAAACGTGACTGAACAGATGACATACATGTGAAAGGGGCCTAATTCATTTCATTGGCCAGAATAATAATTTAAGGCCTAAGGCCCCAGGAAGAGACAAAGTCATTGGTTGATAGGATGTAGGTGGCCAGTCCTTGGTTGCTAGTACTCAGATGGCCTCTGGAGTCCTAGCAACTAACAAGTTGTTCAATTAGTGTCAGTAGTGAAAGCACCAACAAATGAGCAGCAGCCATAGGTTCAGCGGGGTGGTGAACTGGCCCATTCAGAGAACTACAAACTTGTTCAGGTCAAACTCCACATGACTGTGAACTTGAATCTCACCCCTACACAATACTTGTGTGTGCAGCACCTTCAAGCAGTTGGAAAAGATGACACACACCAGTTTTCTTCTCATCTTTTCATCAATTTTGGAGGGACGTCCAGTTCTTGGTAATGTCACTGTTGCGCCATATTTTCTCCACTTGATGACTGTCTTCACTGTGTTGCATGGTATATCTAATGCCTTGGAAATTATTTTGTACCCTTCTCCTGACTGATACCTTTTAAAAATGAGATCCTTCTGATGCTCTGTAAGCTGTCTGTGAATCATGGCTTTTGCTGTAGGATGCGACTAAGAAAATGTCAGGAAAGACCTACTAGCACAGCTGAACTTTATTTGGGGTTAATCAGAGGCACTTTAAATGATGGCAGGTGTGTACTGACTCCTATTTAACATGATTTTGAATGTGATTGCTTTAATTCTGAACACAGCTACATCCCCAGTTATAAGAGGGTGTGCACACCACATTATTTTAGTTTTTTTATATTTACTTCCCCCCCTAAAAGATTTCATTTTGTTTTTCAATTGAGTTGTACAGTTTATAGGTAACATTAAAGGTGGAAAAAGTTCTGAAATGATTTATCTTTTTCAAAATTTTTTACATCACAGAAACCTGACATTTTTACAGGGGTGTGTAGACTTTTTATATCCACTGTATGGTCTCATCCTTTGCTCTGATTAAAACTTGAAGATTTATCCACCCACAAACATGCAAATGTTATTATACCACTTTGATCCAAGTTCCATGCATATTAATTGTTGTTGAGAATCTTCACTTTTTACTGTGACTCAAGCTATTAAAGTTATTCTAAAGGAAGAATATTTCTTAAAAAAAAAAAAAAAAATATGTCATACTTACCTGCTCTTTATAATGGTTTTGCACAGAGAAGCCCCTGTCCTCCCCTTCTTGGGTCCTCTGGCGGATCTCTTGGCTCCTCCCTCCTGCTATGTGCCCCCAAAGCAAGCCACTTGCTATGGGAGCAGTGGTGTAGGCTCGCTCCTGGGCCCTGCTCTGTATGTCCATTCACACACAGAGCACGGCTCGGCCCTGCCCCCTTCTCTCCTCATTGGCTCACTGGCTGTGATTGAAAACAGTAGGAGCAAATGGCTCTCGCAGCTGTATCTAAGCCAATGAGGAGAGAGAGACCCAAGAGAGACGCTGCTCCCGTGCACTTCATTAGATCAAGATTGGGCTCAGGTAAGTATTAGGGGGGACTGTGGGGGAGGGGAGCTGGCTGCAGATGTTTTTTTTACCTCAATGCGTAGAATACATTAAGTTAAAACACTTTGAGACTTTAGAACCATATTAAGGATTTATTTGTATTTTGAGCAATACTGCATTGCCTCCTAGTCCAACTTTTTCATGCTACATGGCTGTTTGTGTTCTAGGTTGGTCCCTGGACATAAACAAATAGATAAATAGAAAACATTCTGGGTTTTTTTTTTACAACGCTTATGGGTTTATTTATCAAAAACCAATTCCACAACTATTCATTTCTGTGAAACTGCATGAATATTTATTTTGTGGAGGGGGGGGGGGGGGGGGAGATAAAACTAATGCTATCAAACGTTTTTCTCACTAGCTTGAACGTTTTTCATTCATAATAATGGAATGAATCAGGAAAGAAAAATCATTATGGCCACTAGATGGGGCAGATGATCATAGGAAATAAAAACGTCTTTACCAATATCATCAACTCCACCTAGCAGCTATAACGTGGTATTTACCCAATTCACTTTGAACTTATGAATGAGAAACATCCAACCTGGAGAACACAACAGCCCAGTAACATTCACCTCCATTAACACAGAAAGAATGTACATGAAGTTTCACAGGACGAATAGCCCTATAATTTTTTTTAAATAAATAATTTATATATAAAATTTTATTTAGAATGTAGCACCCTCCTAGGTAGGTGCTAGGTTTAGATAGATATGATTTAGTGTATGTGTTTTGATAGGTAAATTTAGTTGTCACACTGTAGACTGTTATTATTGTTGTTAGGTAAAAGCAAAAACTGAACACTGTAATTAGAGTTGCTGTGTTCTACTAGTTAGGTCTGTTCAACATGATCAGCTGCAGCCAGGCTGATAGCTCCCTCTGTATCTAGAAAGTTTGAGAAGTTTCTGGATTATAGGTGTGGAGTTATGCAGTGGCAGCATGAATCTCTATACCAGAGAGAAAGAGGCTCTGATGGCATGTTGGGTAACTGTATATTCAGTGAGCACACTGAGTTCTGGGTCTTTCCTGTATAGGATTGGTCAGGCCTGGAGGGGGACATGCTGCCCTCCCAGGCAATGCGGCTGGATCTACTGCCATAGGCCTCAGTTTGGTGACCCACGGGACTGAATGCGGAGACCCAGGTTCTGCTAAAGCTGACTGAGGGGCTGTCTACTGAAGATCTGGTCTAGTATCATGGAGGAAGGCAACCAGTTGTTCTTGGGCCTTGTGAGTACAGACATATCTCTTATATATGGAGACTTGTTAGAAAGTCACTTTAGCATTTGCAATTACTCTTGGTTGTGGATTTTTTTTTTTTTTTAGATTGGTGGCCTCCATCACCTTTAATGCTTTTAAATAATGGAATGTTTATTTTGAGAACCATTACTGGCATCTTATTTTGATATTCAAATAAAAGTGTAGCGCTAAAAGTATAAATAAA